AAGGCCGAGCAGGCGAAGGGCGGACACCGGTGAGGACTGCTGCTGCGGCGGCACAACGGCGACACCTGGACTGCAAGCTGCTCCTCGGCTACTACCAGCACTCTCCACACCCGCACCCCCAGAGGGACCACCTCCAGGGCGACGGGGACGAGCACCCCCAGAGTCAGCGAACGGGTGCTGCGACGGCGGCGGCGGCGGCGGCGGCAGCGACAACGACGGCTGCAGCGGCGGCAGAGGCGGTGGAGGAGGGGACTGGGAAGGGGACGCCAGGGGAGGGGCGGCCGGCGAGGACTGCACAGGAGGGCCACCAGAGTCAGAAGACTCCCCAGCCGGGTCCACCGACGGAAGGGGGGTGACGTGGGACACACCAGAGGGGGCAGGACGGGGAGGAGGAGGAGGAGGGGTAGGGACTACCGGGGAAGGAGTGACCAGGAACAGGGGGGGGGTAACCAGGGGACCACGGTGGGGGAAGCGACGGTAGTAGGAGACGGACTTGTCAAAGGTGACGTCACGAGAGTGAAAGAAGCGGTGCGACGGCGGGTGGTAAAAGTGCCAGTCGGACGCGTCAAGGGGAAAACCGAGGAAGACGCAGGGAAGGGTGCGGGCACTGAGCTTGTCCGTGCCGGAGGCACGGACGTGAGCAAGGCAGCCCTAGACGTGGAACGCAGACGCGTCACCAGGAGACCCAGTCCAAAGACGAGTCGGCGAAACCTGCAACTGCTGAGGGTGCGGCCACAGGTTAAGCTGGTGAGAAGCGTAGCGCACAGCGAACGGCCACAGAAAATGGGGTGCACCGGCATGGATCATGGAGGTGCAAGCCACCTCCATGACCAAACCGATGCATCGCTCAGCGACCCCATTCTGCTGTGGGGAGTCTGGTAGGGTGAACGTCTGGGTGATGCCCTCCGCACGACAGAAGCGACCAAGGACACCTGAGGCAAACTCGCCACCACGGTCTCAGTGAAGACGCAAGACAGGGAGACCGCAGTGGACACGCGCAGAGACAAGCCAGGGGATGAGAGCGCCAGGCACGTCGGCCTTGCGCTCCAGGGGAAAGACTGTGGTGTAACGAGTGAAGTCGTCGACGAGCACAAGGAAGTAGCGCTCTCGACGCGGCCCAGGGACAGGGGCGGCGCCCCAGACGTCCAGGTGCAGGGTCTGCAGCGGCGCGGAGGTAGGGGGAAACGAGGAGGAGTGAGGGGCACGGCGAAGCCGACCCTCGACACAAGGCGTGCAAGGGGGGGCGGGGGAGGAGGGAAACGCGGGGAGAGAACCTGGGAGACCAAGGACAAGACCGTGCTGGGACATGTGACGCAGACGCGGGAGCACAGGGTGACCTAGGCGGTGGTGCCAGAGGAGCGTCGGGTGAGTGAGGGACCGACAGGAGCAGGCAGCAGCAACCTGAGTAGACTCAGCCACCTGAGGGAGCGCCCCAGCCGGGGGGGTCACGGTGTCCAGAGTGAACAGGCCAGACACCGGGTCCCGGGGGAACGTGGACAGGGGGGCACCAGTGGCGGCCTCGGTGCAGACAGCATACCGCTCGTGACCAGGGAACGTAGTGGTGTCGCCAAGGTCCTGGAGGCAGCCGACACCAACTAGGTTCCTGGAGAACGAGGGGATATGCAGACCTGTAAGAGAGCCCGAAGGAACCGCCGGGCAGGGAAGGGTGGTGGAACTGCGGGCGACTACCGGACCGCCGGAGGGGTCAGCAGGAGAAACGGCAGCAGGAACAAGAAGCGGCGTCAGGGTGGTGGAGTCGCGGAAGAAACACCGAGAAGCGCCAGAGTCCAAGGTGAAGGAAAGCGAAGCAGAGGCGGCTGGCGACGGAACGACGGCGGAAGCACCAAGACTACACAAAGCAGAGGATCCTACGCCTGACGCAGCAGGGGAGGCTACTCTAGGCACACCTACACTAGGCAACAATGAGTAATAAGCTGGAAGTACACTAGAGTCATCAGCATACATCACATGCAGAGCAGAAACAATGGCATCCATGTCCATATCAAAGATCTGAATCTTACGACTAAGCAAACTGTGCCAGTCCGGGAGGTCTGGCGACGGGCCGAAGCGCTGACGAAAGAGGTCGTCCAGGCAACGAAAACAGCGGGGAGTGGAGTGACCGATCTTACCGCAAACGAAGCCGCGGCGAGGACCGGTCTGGATCTGGTACTGACAGCGCCCGCCGCCAGAGCTACCACTCGACACACCACCACGCGCCCGGCCACCGCCAGCGCCAGGCCACCCGGGCGGGAGGACACTCGGCTGCCGCGTCTGCGACGGCTGCTGCGGCTGCGGCGAAGGCTGCGACTACGGCGGCTGCTGCAGCTGCTGCAACTGCAGGGGCGGCGTCTCAGCCGGACTGGGCAGGGTCCCCTCGTCTGCTCCAGCACCAGACGACCCGACCCCACCACTACCCCCTCCCGCACCCCCGCCTCCGCCGCGCCCAACCTTGGGGCGGCGGCCCTTCCCCGAACGAGACTGCGCTGCAGCAGCGGTCTCAGCCACTGCGACAGAGCCGTCGGAGAAGGTACTCTGGGCGGGGGCACAACCCTGAAAGATAGGGACCGGCACGACACCGCTCGCCTGGGCGATGGAGCGGTGACGGGTCTCTATCACAGTCAGGGTGTCTACAAAGTCAGTGAGGGTGAGATCGGCGGGGTGAATGCTAAGGAAATGGTCGCGGGCGACAGCAAGGCGGTCAGGGAGGCGGGTGGCAAGCAGGTAGAGGGTAGAGGTAATGGGCGGCTGGTGGGCTCTAAGCTATGCGTCAGTGCAGGCGGCGCGCCAGGTCACCTCTATTGAGCGCAGGTGGGTAGCGAGGTCAGAGACAGTGGGGAAAGATGCAAGGTCAGGAAAGAGCATCGGGAGGATCAGGCGACCCACCGAGGCAGCCGGAGGGGTGGAATAGCGCTGGATCACAGCATCTAAGTATGCCTGAGCAGTAGTGAGGGACCTAAAGCGAGGACGCTCTGATGGGGGGAGGGCGTTGCTAATGGCAAGCTGGGCGACAGCATCGCGAGAAAGCCAGACAGAGCGCGCACGGGCAGTGGCAGCAATAGACTCACGCTCAGTGGGTGTGGGGTCAGCGGTCAGAATAGCAGGGGGGTCTGGGCAGGGGAGCATACCGTCAAGGTGTGCGGAAAGCGGTTCACCATCCTGCCGCTGGCCAGTGAGTTGGCGGCGGAGGTCGGCAAGCCACGCCTCGAACTCTAGGGGCTGACCTTCAGCGTCGAAGCGAAGCTCCGCCGCCATCAGGAACAGTCCAGTGCGGTGCAGGGCAGTGCAGCTAGGTGGGGTGCGGTGCAGTGCGGTACAGTGCGGTGCAGTGCGGTACAGTGCGGTGCAGTGCGGTGCAGTGCGGTACAGTGCGGTGCAGTGCGGTGCAGTGCGGTACAGTGCGGTGCAGTGCGGTGTAGTGCGATGCCAGGCAGTACAGTGTGATGCGAGGCGGCACGGAGCAGGGCGGGGTGGGGGGGAACCGTACCAGTGAGGAGGATGGGGCCGGGGCTGGCCCGACAGGGCCGGGCGGGCGCGACAGGGCCGGGCTGGTGCGACAGGGCCGGGACGGGGCGACGGGGCCGAGCGGGCGCGACGGGGCCGGGCTGGGGCGACGGGGCCGGGCGAGTGCGGCAGGGCCAGGCCGGTGCGACGGGGCCGGGCGAGCGGGACGGCGGCCGGGCGGGTGCGACGGGGCCGGGCAGGGTGCGACGGGGCCGGGCGGGTGCGACGGGGCCGGGCGGGTGCGTCGGGGCCGGGCAGGGTGCGACGGGGCCAGGCGGCTGCGACGGGGCCGGGCGGGCGCGACGGGGCCGGGCGGCTGCGACGGGGTCGGGCAGGGGCGACGGGACCGGGGGGGGCACGACGCGGCCCAGGAGGGGCGCTACGGGGCCCAAAAGGGGCACGACGGGGGCCCAGGAGAGGCGCTACAGGGGCCCATGAGGGGCGCAACGGGGCCCAGGAGGGGCGCTACGAAGCCCAGGAGGGGCGCGACGAGGCCCAGGAGGGGCGCTAAGGGGCCTAGGAGGGGCGCGACGGGGCCTGGGAGGGGCGCGACGAGGCCCAGGAGGGGCGCTACAGGGCCCAGGGAGGGCGCGACGGGGCCCAGGAGGGGCGCTACGGGGCCCAGTAGGGGCGCTACGGAGCCCAGGAGGGGCGCGACGGGGCCTGGGAGGGGCGCGACGAGGCCCAGGAGGGGCGCTACGGGGCCCAGGAGGGGCGCTAGGGGGCCTGGGAGGGGCGCGACGGGGCCTGGGAGGGGCGCGACGGGGCCTGGGAGGGGCACTACGGGGCCCAGGAGGGGCGCTACGAAGCCCAGGAGGGGCGCGACGAGGCCCAGGAGAGGCGCGACGGGGCCCAGGGAGGACGCGACGGGGCCCAGGAGGGGCGCTACAGGGGCCCAGGAGGGGCGCTATAGGGCCTAGGAGGGGCGCGACGGGGCCTGGGAGGAGCGCGACGGGGCCCAGGAGGGGCGCTAGGGGGCCTGGGAGGGGCGCGACAGGGCCCAGTGAGGGGCGCGACGGGGCTAGGGGGGGTCGCGACTGGTCTAGGGGCTAGAGGGATGAGCGGAAGCGGTAGGTGGGAGGGGGATCCTACCTACGCGTGATACCATATCAAAATTGAAAATTGAATGATGGATAGAGTGAGAGTACACAAAGATATACCTAAGTGTTGTACTCTCTAAGAAGCGACCCTATACAGTCTATACAAACATGACAAATACACATGTTTGACAACAACTACTAGGCCTACAATTATATATAATAATATATCATTTAACAGTATTTTCACAGGGATAGGGTATTCACCCTCCTAAAGCAGCTCCTGAAGACCAGATCTGGATACCCTTGAAAAACACCAGAAAAACACCATTACTGCTAGATTTAGTGCCAAACGTCAGCTTAGGCAGTGCCCAGTTTCAAGGCTATGTGGATTTCATGGGGGGCTTATATCAGGGCGCTGACGGGTATTGTTGGCTTTGCAAAACGCCAGTACGCTGGAGTGTAGAGCGAGTCGTGCATGACACAGGGCCCACCCTATTCATTACCAAAACAAACTGTTTAGCACAAATGCTTGTACTATATACACACTAACCAGCTACACGAACGGAAACTAGCGGTGCACACTCAAACTGCAGAACATTAACTCTGCTAAACCGCCTGGAGGTGAACAACCGTTCCGAAGGAGTAAGCACCTCCCGCTGTCGCCATCAATGGAGCGGAGCGTATGCAGCGGCGCGTCTAGTCGACGATAGTCCCGAGGGCGCGCATGAACCAGAAGAGCTGCCCCCTCATGGACTCATGCCACGCGGGGCGTTCCTCCTCCATCCGCGCCTCCACCGCCGCGGGCTTCGCCTCTTCCGGCTTCGCAGCCATCGCGTTCTGCAGGGCCGTCTCGGGCGCTACGCCATAGCCGTGCGGGAATGTCGCCTTCTCAAGCTGCTCGCAGAAACGGTGGGGGGATTGTTTAAGTTCGCGCAAACTCACATCACAAAATAGAACAGAAGAAAACGGCACAAGGGAGCAACATTGCTCCCATTATTTCGACGAGTCTCATGGAGAGAATGCCAACGATATCGAAGAATGTGAATGGGCGTACCGCGGGGCCTCGGTGGTGCACTCCCGGCCGCCGGTGCCGTTTCGACGCGGTGATGGCGAGTCTGCGCGGAACTTGCTCCTGGAAAACGAGGAGGCACGAGTGATAAAGATTGACGCGAGTACAACATGAGAATGTACATGGGAAACCCTGTCAATGGAAGCAGAGCAGCTGCGGCCTTCGACCTAGTGGGCTGAAGTGACACGACAAATAAACGAAGACAACTGACAGCCGCCAAGCACTACCGCTTCGAAGGCGCACCTGACGTCTCAGCGAAGGTGTGGCGATGGCGAGATTGGTGTGGGTAAGGACGAGAGCTTGGACAGCAGCCATTATCTCTTGATGCCGAAGAAACGAATAATCGGAAAGAATTACGGAATCAGGAACGCAATGGGTTGACAGCAAGATTCGTGCAGGCAAGAACTGATTAGTAAGAGATACTGTGAAGGAATGTTGGTAGGGATTATAATGCACGATGGCGAGAAGAGTTCGGTGTGGTTGATGAACGCCACCAAGAAAACATCGCCTCGGCTCGGCATTCCCTGAGCTGGGAGGTTCGTGCTGGAATTGCTGCCTGCCAGCGCGTCATGACATGCTGGTCGCGGGTGCGGGAAGGCGGGCTGCTGACGCAGGCTCGGAACAGCGCAGCAAAGGTCAGGCCCGTCAGAGGCCTGGAAAGTATTCTCGCGTGCTCCTGCAGGCTGACGTTGCATCATGTTCACGTGGAATTTGTGCTATTCCACGTCAACGAGCCGTCAGGTGGATATTTGGGGTCAGGGTCTCACCAGCGCAGCAAAGTTCGAGTCTTCGCTGGCGGGATCTTTCCACTCAACCGAGAACTTTGTCGCGTGCGAAAGTGACTTGGACAGCGCAGCACGCTGTCCTGCCAGCACAGCGAAGGTTCAGTGGAGGCAGATCCCAGGGGTGAGCTCTCGTCCAATCCAACCACAGTTCCTGCAACATTGTAACTATGTAGGGCTTCGCCATGCTTCGTGACTCCAGGCAGTAGATGTTACCCCGACGCTTGAAGATGTTACGTCACACAGCACCTCTGGCTCACCTGTTTCAGATTCCATGTTCCACATCTAGTTGCTACTGTATTTCCAGCTGGAACTTCGCGACTCGCCTTTAGTTTCCCCCTCTGACATCGCATGCAGAGACATCAAACCTAACGACTAACCCATGCGGCTTGCCGTCAGATCAGTATCCACGTGCAGTAACTTGTCGATTCGCCATTTGTCGCAGCGCGATATTGACTCACCGCATGCTGCGCCCGGTGTTTTACTGAACAGCGCGTCAGAAGGAACTCCCGTCAAAGCGAGACGCAGGGCCGACTGAGTGTCGAACATCGCAGTTTCGCCTTCTAGTTGGGCATCCGAACGAGTCGGATACTTGGTGGCCTTCATAATTCGCCATCTCCCAAGTAGAGGCAGTTGCTTGGCAATTTGCTCGTTCTTCGCCTCTTGACTCTAAAACCGACGCCATAGAACGTTCGTCTGAAGAGCCCTTTGTTCCGTCCGCCATGGCGACTGAGGTAGCGGTAGAAGACCTGCGATCGCGGTCGCGAGAGACGCGGCTCGTGGATACGGTGGAGCAGTACATGACGCGCGACCCGATCTGCTTCCGACGCGACACGCCGCTCGAGGAAGCACTGCGTGTGAGTGTGTCTCCGTGTGTGTGTGCGTTGTCCTTGAGGGCGTGACTGGAGACGGTGGAGCAGTACATGACGCGCGATCCGATCTGCTTCCGACGCGACACACCTCTGGGGGGGAAGATCTGCGCGTGAGTGTCCAGCACAAGATCAGCGGCTTGCCTGTGATGGCGGCGCGCTCGTGACAGCAGCGTGCCCGTGATGGCGGCGTGCCCGTGATGGCGGCGTGCCCGTGATGGCGGCGTGCCCGTGATGACGGCGTGCCCGAGGTGGCGGCGCGCTCGTGACAGCAGCGTGCCCGTGATGGAGCCGTACGTCTCTTGAGCTCTCCATTTCCATTCACTTTTGGTGGTCTGCCCCCTCCCCCCTCCCCCCCCAAAAAACACACGCAGGCGCTGATAGAGCACAAGATCAGCGGCGCCGGTGGTTGAGCCGTACGTCTCCTGAGCTTTCGATTTCCATTTCACCTTTGCTGTCTGGTGGTCTGTCCCCTTCCCCTCCCCACCAACCCTTACAGGCGCTGATAGAGCACGAGATCAGCGGCGCGCCAGTGGTAGAGCCGTGCGTCGCTTGAGCTCTCCATTTCCATTCACTTTTACTGTCTGCTCTGTCGGGCCCCCCAACCTCTCCATCCCAAAACAAGCAGGCGCTGATAGAGCACAAGATCAGCGGCGCGCCAGTGGTGGAGTCGTACGAGGGCGACGAGTCGGGGAGCGGCAGGCTGGTGGGCGTGATAAGCGAGGAGGACCTGCTGTGGAAGGAGGTGGACGCCACCGATAAGGTGAGCTGTATGGTTAGTCTGAGGTCCTTCTACTTGTTCAGTCTGCTCCGATCTCGACGGGGAGCGGCGGGCTGGTGGGCGTGGATAAGCGAGGAGGACCTGCTGTGGAAGGAGGTGGACGCGATGGACAAGGTGGGCCATGCCCGGTGATCGTGGTGTGCTCCTAGGAGTTGAGCTCGCTTTGACCTCGGCGGCAGGCAGGCTGGTGGGAGTGATTAGCGAGGAGGACCTGCTGTGGAAGGAGGATGACGCCACGGATAAGGTGAGGGGCGTGATGGCTGTCGAGTGCTCGTAGGAGTTGAGTTCGCTCTGATCTCGACGGGGAGCGGCAGGCAGGCTGGTGGGCGTGATAAGAGAGGAGGACCTGCCGTGGAAGGAGGTGGACGCTACGGACAAATTGAGCAGCATGCGGTTACCACTCGCATGGCTCGACGCCCAGAGCTGCACGCGTCTTGCCTCTGTCACCTTCACTCCACCCGCCCCTCTCCCCCCGTTTGCCTCTCTTGCTGCCCTCACTTTCTCTCTCTTAATCCCCTCCCTCCTCTCCCCCCCTCCCTCCTCCTTCTCTCCCCCAATACAGGAGCCTGAGAGTGCTGGAACTCTGGTCCATGATGACGTCAGACACGAGCATGTTAGAAACCTACGAGGACCAGGCGCTTAAAGTGGTCTCCCAGACTGTGGGGCTCAGCATGAGCGAGCAGTCCATCTCCGTCACGTCTCACTCCCCTTCCCTTTCCCCCCTTCCCCCCCGATTGGCCCCCGTCCCCCTACCCGTGTTCCCCTTCCCCCTCCCAATACAGGAACTTGAGAGTGCCTTCCGTGCGCCGTATCTCTGGTCCATGATGACGTCAGACACGAGCATGCTAGAGACCTACGAGGACCAGGCGCTTAAAGTGCTATCACAGACCGTGGGGCTCAGCATGAGCGAGCAGTCCATCTCCGTCACGCCCGACACGCCCGTTAAAGACGTCGCCACTATCATGCTCGATGCCAAGATTAAGAGGCTCCCGGTGGTGGCCCCCAGGGGGGGGGGCAAGCCAGGCGTGACTGTAGTGGGCGTGATTTCAAGGAACGATGTGCTGAGGCATGTGCTGAGGGTGTTGACTGAGAGGGGGGGGAGGGAGGGGGGAGTGAGGCGAGGGGAGGGGGAGGGGGAGGGGGAGAGAGTGGAGAAGGGGGCAGCGGCAGCAGGGGTGAAGGGGGGAGAAGGAGGTGAGGCTGGGGGAGGTGAGGGGGGAGGGGGGGTGGGCGGAGCAGGTGGAATGGGGAGAATAGCACCCCAGGCGGAGGTTGCTGGGGGAGGTGGGGGCAAGCAGGCTGGGGGAGTGGGGAAGGAGGGAGGCGGGGGAGAGGAAGGAGGTGGAGAGGGGAGGGGGAAGGCGCAGACGAGCGTGGTGAAAGGGGGGGCGTGAGGGGGGGAAGTGGTAGGTAGCGTGTCATGGTACTATTACAAGGCTTTTTGCTCTGTGGAGGAGAGAGGCTGGTGGTTCTGGTGTGTAAATAGAATGTATGCCGTAAGAATTGTAAGGCTAGTGTTGTTGCTGCCTCATCTTCCTAGAAGCCAGAGACTGCCTTAATCTCCCCTACTGGAAAGGTGGGGCTGTTGTGGATTCACCGGTCTGCAGCTCTGCTGCTGGGAAGCAAGGAACACTACAAGGCGTTCTGCTCCATTGCACACTGCCACGCACTGCTCTTCAAATGGCGTTCTTAAGTTGGGACAGCCAACCAGGTGACTCAAAAGACAACCCAGGCCTGCTTTTTTCATTTTTACATCCCGGGGCTTCGAGGGATTTCCCGAACAAGCAGTCTAGTTTCGCAGCCCCACAAAACTAGATGGCTTAGGAGACTCCCTGATTTCTCAGGGTGCTTTGTGCATAACACCCTGAGCTCTTAGGGCATAGTTTCCAAAACTCCCTGATTGTGTTCTCATTTTCTGAACAGAAAACACGCATCACAGCTTGCACTATAGGCTGTGGAAAATAAGAAGCTACCAATCCCCCAAGATTGAAGGCACATATCCTTCACCCTCCCCATCCTTCCCTAAGCAACCACTGACATTCGTATAACCAATACGCAGTTCCTGGTAGCCGTCTCCAGGTACCCGCTGATGGGTCACAGCTGGCGCAGCAGCAAGCTTGAACACCATACTCTGGGTGGAACCCTGAGTTGCAGTTGTGCAGCACCTCGCCCAGGATGCGCGCATGGTCTCGCCGCCCAGCTCCACTGATCTATGCTTCACTCTGATGCCTCATGCTTCAACCCCACCGGAAGCCCTCCTGCCCCCCCTCTACCTGAGGGCTCTAGCCAGCTGCTGCTTGGTGACAGCAGGCCCGGCAGCGAGCACCTCATCAGGGATGCGCGTGGTCTCGCCGCCGATGTCAAACTCCTCAAATTTGGTGAAGTTTTTCACAAACAGCGCGCCGAGCTTCTCCAGGGTCTCCTGGTACTTGGCCTTGTCGGGCCACTGGCAATGGGCACACAAGGGAAGTGGGGAATTGGGCAAGTTGGGGCAAGGTGAGTTGTAAGGGTGTGTCAAATTTGGTGGGTGAAAGGGTGTAAGGGTGAAAGGGTGGGACAAATTTGGTGAAGTTCTCCACGAACAGTCTCCAGCGTCTCCTGGTACTTGTCCTTTACGGACACTGTTTCGAGCGGGGAAGCCGGGAAGTGGGGAAGCGGGGAAGTGGGGGAGCGGGGACAAGCGAGGGGCAAGGTGAGTTGTAAGGGTGAGCCGTCTGCAAAGTCAGAGTCAGGGAGAGTCACGACGTGAAATCCCACACAACAGAGAAACAGGCAAGCATGTGCCACCCACCAGGGTCTCGGGCTGCAGCACGTCAGTGGGAACGCCGTTGCACTTGGTGGGCACTTGCAGGCCGAACACGGGCGTGGTCACAAACTCCTCCTTCAGCAACGACCCGTCGTGAATCGCATCGATGATGGCCCGCGTGCTCTTGATGCTCATGCGGCTGCCCACGCCGTAGCTGCCGCCGGTCCACCCCGTGTTGACCAGCCACGCCGTGGTGCCGTGGCGCTTCATACGGTCCGCCAGCAGCTTGGCGTACTTGTACGGGTGCCACATCAGGAAGGCTGCCCCGAAGCACGCCGAGAAGGTGGCCTCGGGCTCGGTGATGCCCATCTCGGTGCCAGCGACCTTGGCGGTGTAGCCGGAGATAAAGTGGTACATGGCCTGCTCCAGAGTCAGCTTGCTGGGGGGTGGGTGAGAGGCAGAAGGGGGCAAGCAGGGGCAAGCAGGGGCAAGCAGGGGCAAGCAGGGGCAAGCAGGGGCAAGCAGGGGCAAGCAGGGGCAAGCAAGAACAGGAAGAGAAGGGAGGCGTACGCATTGGAAGGTGGCCTCGGCGTCAGCCGGGTGTGCGCACACCCAGCACGTTCTCCAGCACCGCGCCGAACCTGCGGTCGCTAACACAGGGCAACAGTACAGGATGAGGCTCCTGGGTCTTACCTCACAGGAGGGAGCACGCCGAAGGCGTCGCAGGTAAGCAGGATCACGTTAGTAGCATGGCCGGCTGTGCAGGGGATCTTGGCATTCGGGATGTACTCGATCGGGTACGACGCCCGCGTGTTCTCCGTGATACTCCCATCGTCGTAGTCCACGACTCTGGTATGCGCGTCGAACACCACGTTCTCGAGCACCGCGCCGAACCGGATGGCGTTGTAGATGTCGGGCTCCTTCTCGCGCGATAGGTTGATGCACTTGGCGTAGCACCCGCCCTCGATGTTCGCCACCCCGTCGTCGCTCCACGTGTGCTCGTCGTCGCCGATCAGCAGGCGGTGCGGGTCGGTGGAGAGGGTGGTCTTGCCCGTGCCCGAGAGGCCGAAGAAGAGAGAGACGTCGCCGTTCTTGCCCTCGTTGGCTCCCGAGTGCAGGGAGAGTACGCCCTGAAGGGGTGGGGAAAGAGGGGGAGAGCGGCGGAGGGGCAGAGGAGGAAAGAGGACAAGCAAGATCAGCTGGCGTTGCGCGGGAAGGGGGGACGGCAAGGCGTGAAGGGAAGGGGGGACGGGAAGGCGTGGCATGTGAATCAGCAGGCGGTGCGGGTCGGTGGAGAGGGTGGTCTTGCCGGACAGCCCCGAGAAGTGATAGACGTCCCCGATCTTGCCCTCGTTGGTTCTCAATCAAGAGGCGTTGTGACTGTTGAGTCGACTCAAAAGTCACCTCGTCACAATGTCACACAACACCTTGACCTTGTAACGAGGCGACTCTCGGAAAAGTGAATCGAAAGGAGAGATGTCGAGCAGGTTGCACTCTTTCCAAGAGCGCGCGCCTGCTTGGGCATGAGGTAGTTCACGAGGGAGAAGAGCCCCTTCTTCATCTCCCCGGCATACTCCGTGCACAGGATGACCATCTCCATGCGGCTGAGGTCCACGTCCACGCTCGTCGTCCCAAGACGGCCTGACCACCTGCCACACATGTCCTGGGTGCGAGCCCTAGCCACGCACCTGCTTGGGCATGAGGTAGTTCATGAGGGAGAAGAGCCCCTTCTTCATCTCCCCGGCATACTCCGTGCCCAGAATGACCATCTCCATGCGGTTGAGATCCATGTCCACGCTCGTGGTGCTCGTCATGAACTTGCTGAGGCGGTTCACGGGGAAGTGCCCCGCGTTGTAGATGGTGAACACCGGCTCGCCGAAGTTGTCGAGCTGCTCCTGGGTGGGTCGGATGCACCTGGGAGGGAGGGGGGAGAAGGCGGACAGGGGAAAGGGGGAAGCTTGAGGAGGCGGTTCACAGGGAAGTGCCCCGCGTTGTAGATGGTGAAGACAGGCTCTCCAAAGTTGCCCAGCTGCTCCTGCGTGGGGCACTTGCACCTGGGGTGGAGGAGAGAGGAGCCGGGGAGTGGGCAGGGTGGAGGAGAGAGGAGCCGGGGAGTGGGCAGGGTGGAGGAGAGAGGAGCCGGGGAGTGGGCAGGGTGGAGGAGAGAGGAGCCGGGGAGTGGGCAGGGTGGAGGAGAGAGGAGCCGGGGAGTGGGCAGGGTGGAGGAGAGAGGAGCCGGGGAGTGGGCAGGGTGGAGGAGAGAGGAGCCGGGGAGTGGGCAGGGTGGAGGAGAGAGGAGCCGGGGAGTGGGCAGGGTGGAGGAGAGAGGAGCCGGGGAGTGGGCAGGGTGGAGGAGAGAGGAGCCGGGGAGTGGGCAGGGTGGAGGAGAGAGGAGCCGGGGAGTGGGCAGGGTGGAGGAGAGAGGAGCCGGGGAGTGGGCAGGGTGGAGGAGAGAGGAGCCGGGGAGTGGGCAGGGTGGAGGAGAGAGGAGCCGGGGAGTGGGCAGGGTGGAGGAGAGAGGAGCCGGGGAGTGGGCAGGGTGGAGGAGAGAGGAGCCGGGGAGTGGGCAGGGTGGAGGAGAGAGGAGCCGGGGAGTGGGCAGGGTGGAGGAGAGAGGAGCCGGGGAGTGGGCAGGGTGGAGGAGAGAGGAGCCGGGGAGTGGGCAGGGTGGAGGAGAGAGGAGCCGGGGAGTGGGCAGGGTGGAGGAGAGAGGAGCCGGGGAGTGGGCAGGGTGGAGGAGAGAGGAGCCGGGGAGTGGGCAGGGTGGAGGAGAGAGGAGCCGGGGAGTGGGCAGGGTGGAGGAGAGAGGAGCCGGGGAGTGGGCAGGGTGGAGGAGAGAGGAGCCGGGGAGTGGGCAGGGTGGAGGAGAGAGGAGCCGGGGAGTGGGCAGGGTGGAGGAGAGAGGAGCCGGGGAGTGGGCAGGGTGGAGGAGAGAGGAGCCGGGGAGTGGGCAGGGTGGAGGAGAGAGGAGCCGGGGAGTGGGCAGGGTGGAGGAGAGAGGAGCCGGGGAGTGGGCAGGGTGGAGGAAAGGAGAGAACTTGCTGAGGCGGTTCACGGGGAAGTGCCCCGCGTTGTAGATCGTGAACACCGGTACTCACATGTTGTGCATGAACAGTGCATGGCGTACTCACATGTTGTGCATGAACAGTGCATGGCGTACTCACATGTTGTGCATGAACAGTGCATGGCGTACTCACATGTTGTGCATGAACAGTGCATGGCGTACTCACATGTTGTGCATGAACAGTGCATGGCGTGCTCACATGTTGTGCATGAACAGTGCATGGCGTGCTCACATGTTGTGCAAGAACAGTGCATGGCGTGCTCACATGTTGTGCATGAACAGTGCATGGCGTACTTACATGTTGTGCATGAACAGTGCATGGCGTACTCACATGTTGTGCATGAAGAGCGCGTGGTAGGCACGCGCGCACACGATGCGCACTTTGATCTGCAGCTTGGGGTCCCACCCCAGGAGCATGTCCTGCACGTACACCTGCGGACACGTGGCAGCGCGGGGTTGGCGGAGAGGAACAAGTAGAAACGAGGTTGAGGGTGTGTGAAGGAATGCAGGGAGGTGTTTCCCAAGCCATATTGCTGACAGGTGCTTTGAGCTGATTGGATGCGTTTGTCTCGCGACAGTGGTTCCTGTATCAGGCTGCCCGTTATTAGACGTCTCGAGGCACGCGTACAAGCTGACCTTATATCGAGCACAACTTACCTTGCCGACAGTGTTGAGGTAGTCAATGGCGCGCTCGCGGTTCACCATGAATGTGTACTCGTCCATCTCGTAGTTGGGCGACCCCCTGCCGACCGCACACACACACAAGCACACATTACGCATTGAGAAACACCCAGCGAAGACGCTTCGAGACACAACCATCCCACTCTCTTCGTGCAAAGGTCGCTTCTCCTGTGCCAAACCCTAGGGCTGTCAGACTCACAACCCCCAACCCCCAACCCAGAACCCTGGGGTTACTCACTTGCCCCACCACAGGTCCTCGGCGTGGTTCCTCTCCTTGACGACGCGCTTGTCCTTGGGCGACCGCCCGGTCTTCTGCCCCGACAACGTGGCCAGCGCGCCCGTGGACACGATGAAGTTGCCCTCCTCCTGCGCGATCGCCTGCTCGTACAGCTCTGTTTAAGAGGGGGGAACAAGGGGCGGGTGGGAGAGAGGGGGGGGAGAGGGGGGGGAGGGGGGGGTAGATAGGGATGAGTAGCGCGCCCGTGGACACGATGAAGTTGCCCTCCTCCTGCGCGATCGCCTGTTCGTACAGCTCTGTTTGGGGCGAGGGGGGGAAAGCGGGGGGAGCGGGGGGGAGGGAGGGATATTCAGGGCAGATTAGCAGGGCTCCCTTCGACACGATGAAGTTGACCTCCTCCTGCGCGATCGCCTGCTTGTACAGCTCTGTTGGGGGGAAGGGGGGAACGGGGGGGAGGAGAGACGTACAGGGGGCTTAGCGCGCCCGTCGACACGATGAATTAGCCCTCCTCCTGCGCTGTCGCCTGCTCGTACAGCTCTGCGAGTCGACGGAACGAGGAATGGAGAGGAGAGGCACAATGAGTAGAGGAGACGGGTTGCAAGGCGGGACGACGACGCACGACGCACACGACGACAGAGCTCGCCGGCGACAGAAGAGGTTACGCAGGGCCTCCGGGGTGCAAAGCGGCGATCGGCGCGCAATGCAGCAACGGGAGAGTCAGGAACAGGAACGCATTTCTAACGAGGGGAGTAGCTCTCACCAGCGACGGAGAGGTTGCGCAGGACCTCCTGGGGCTTGAGCTTGGCCACGAAGATGTCGTCCGGCGCGAAGTCCGGGATGTTCTTCACCTTCTCCAGCGCGTCGCCCGCGCGCGTCGACTCGCGCGAGTGCGTCGTCGGGTCGAACGCCTGCGGGGATGCGAGGCGGGGAGAAGGTAGTTGTACGAGAGACAAGAAATGGATGAGCGGACGAGAAACTGGGAACAGGCAAATGCACAAAGGCGACAAGTACTTCAGGGTCGATGGTAACCTAGGGAGGAGGCAGGATGAAAGCGATCGAGGCTTCGGAACGGCGAGTGGAAAAATACGAGGGTAGGGAGGTCAGGGAGACGAATGAAGGACGAAAGGACAGAAGATATCACGCACCGCAACGCACGTCTTGGAGTGCGATCGGCGCTGAGATGGGCGAGCCACCTTGGCGTGTGCGAGGCGCGCACCTCCCTGTCGAAGGAAAGAACGAGCACACTTACAGTTAGCCAGCATGACTTAACCAGTTTCTACGGTTTGGCAAAATTAGAGGCTGACGAGCACACTTACGACGAGCACGAAATAAATGCATTACAAAAATAGAAATAACAGTAAATATGCTACTTAACGGTGCGACGAGATTCAGGATAGCGCGCAACGGAAATAAAATGTAACCGACTTGCCTTGAGAACGCGAGACTGAGCTTCGAGAGAGGATCCGTCCTTAGATGACGCCGCACACGGCGCCGCAAGGGCGTGCGGCGCGGCAACGGAAATTCCGACTAAGGAAGCCATGGATGAAATTGGTATGACAACACGATTTAGTCACTGTCAAGAGGTGCGTAAAGGCTTGCCCGATAGGGAAACTGGAGAAGCAGGAGTATCAACTCCGGGAGCTTGCGTGAAGCTTTGATGATCAGAATGACTGAGCTTTGTCGAATTTCAAATAAATGCCTCAGCTGGTTCTAGTGAGAAGGTGGATGCTGTGCGACCCTCTGATGCGTGAGGGCGTGTGCAAGGGTCGATGTCGAACAATACCTTAACCGTTGTAGAATGATTTGTGAACCCTCTGAAACAAACAGCACCTTACCCAAACGCATTCAGATGTACGTGTGGGACACGGCCTGTACCTCCAGTCGAATGAAATTTGCTGCTCCCACGGGGGAATGTGTTCGTGAGAAAGGTTGAGCTGTAGATAACGAATGTGGATGGATCTCTATGCCCGATTCGCTGCGCACCGTCGACAGGTAAGCGAAAATCGAAAATTGATGCGCTTCGGCGCACCCTGCCATTTTTTCCAAGCATGCGGGAATGGATCGAGGTGCTTGCTGGGCGGTTTGACATGCCGGGATGCCACGCTGTCCGTCAAGAAGAGGCCGAATGTGATTTTTTGTCGCTGTGCTGTTTTTCAAACACCGCTGATTGGTGCTGGCGTAGTCCAAGGTCCGCGTCACTGATATGGTTGGCCCAATTGCGAGCGTTTCCCAGCATAATGGTCCCTGAAGACTCGCGTCGAAATGATGCGCTGGACAGCCGTGAACGCCACCTGGCTGCCACGAGTGTCAGCGAGCGGGATGGGCCCTCGGCTCTCAGCTCAGAGGCACGTGAACTGCGCCGCATGCCCGACAACGAAGTTTGGTTGGCCAGAATGGCTGGAGCAAAAGCTGCTCGCCCAATGGCAGCTACGCTGTCGAATACGCGTTCCAATAAATCTCGATACATTGCCGGCATTACCTAGAAGTTCTCTTCACTGGTTACGGGTACTAAAGTAAGATGATAATAGCAATACAATAAGAGGAAACTCAAATGGGTCCACCCTAAACATTTGACTCCTTTTCACGCAATGCCTCAGCAAATATAATGTAATGCCTAGTGCTTTCTCTCCCTTCTTATCGCCCACTTCTCCTTAGCTGCCCATTCCTTGCCATCTACCCTTCTTTCTGCTTGGGTTCCTCGTTCCGATTACTCACCCTGTCATCCCTCACTCCGACATGACAATGCAAACTCCATAGTTCCCGTACAACCCTCAAAATTTTCTTTAACGCGTACAGGCGATGTCAGCCAATCACCAGAGGCTCCACAGCACCCACGACACGTCATCCCCCGCTTCCGGTGGCAAGTTCCGGCCGAGCCGTAGCAGCAGCAGCGGGAGCATCGCCGCAAATGCCGCCGCATCTGGCGGTCGCTCTGACCTCGCTGGCTCCGCGAGCGAGGATTCGTGGACCAGGTCTGCCGTTAGCGGCGGCGGCGGCGGTAGCGGCGGCTGGGGTCCTTCCAGCAGGAGCAGACCGGCAGCGACTAGCCCTGGGAGCGGCGCGTGGGGTAATCGCAACGCCTGGAGCGTAAGCAGCAGCGGCGGCGGCGGCGATGGCGGTGGCTGGAAGGCGCGAGGCGACGGCAGCGGAAGCAGCCGGGAAGGCGGGTTGGGCGGAGGGGGAGGCGGAGGGGGAGGCGGAGGGGGAGGCGGGGGCGGGAGAGGGGGCGGGGGATGGGGGGAAACAGGGGAAGGGAGACGAGATGGGGGGAAATGGCGGGTGATAATGGCGAAGGCAGAGGGGGCTATGGCGAAGGAAACGCGCGCAGCAGAGACAGGTGGGAGAGCGGGAGAGGGGGGGATTGCTGGGGGGGTGGCGGGGAGGCTAGCGGGGGGGGTGGCGGGGAGGCTAGCAGGGGGGGTGGTAGGAGTAACGGCCTGGGGAAGAGTCGTAGCTTTTGCGGTGGAAGCAGCACCAGTGCCGCTGGCAATGCAGCTGCCTGCAGCAACGCCGCCGGATACAGTATTGCCATATCAGCTGGTAGGGGACCAGGGTTTGAGAGCTCATCGCGGCCTGAAGGCTTATCCGCGGCAGCGGAAAGGCTAAGGTTGGGTGATGATAGAGGTGTTACCAGCAGCGGTAGCAGTGGCAGTAGCAGTAGCGGTGGTGGTAGGAGCAGCAGCAATAGCAGTGCCAGTACCAGCAGAGACAGCAGCAGCAGCGGGAGAAATTCCGAGGTCCTTGGAAACAAAGGCCGGTACGCGTGGGCCACGCTGGTGATGCAGAATGAGGTCTATGCGTGCGGGGCGCTGGTGCTGGGCCACTCCCTCCGGCTCGCACACACTGCGGCCGACCTAGTCTGTATGGTTACGGATGACATAGCTTCGGATGTAACCGCAGCTCTGGGGGAGGTTTGGGATCACGTGGTGGTGGTGCCGAGGCTGGAGGCTCGGCAAGGGGTGCGGCAGCGGCGGCAGGTTCGGTTCGGGCACATGTATAACCCGTGGCTAAGTGCGTGCTTAACTAAGTTTACGGTTCTGCGGATGGAGCAGTACGAGAAGGTTGCGTTTTTAGACGCGGATATGGTCTGCGTTTCAGGGTTTCTAACCCCAGGAAAAGAGGCGGTAGGGTTGACCCTGCTTGAACGAGTCAAACTGTGGGTTAAAGCAGAAAAGGAGAAACAGAGCTGTGATAACTGCTCTTCCGCTCCTGCCAATGCCGCCGCTGCTGCTGCTGCTCCACCTCCTCCTCCTGCCACTGCCTCTAATCCTATTTCTGCTGCTCATCCTCCTCTTCCCCGTGTTACACCGTGCGCTGCCATACCTGTCTCAACCTCTCGCCACTCCTCCGTACCCATTTCCACCCCTCTTCACCCTGTCGCCTCGTCGCCTTCCTTCCTCTCCATCCTCCCTCCCTCCTCACTCTCCCTCACCTCTGTTGAGAACGAGAGGAGAAATGGGGCGGGGAGCACGGGGAGGGACGAGCGGAGTGGGGAGAAGCAAGGGGTGAAGGGGGAAGAGAGGGCGGAGCACGAGGAGGGGGTGGAGGGGGGAGAGGGAGAGGCTGCCGCTGGTAGGGACGGGAGGCAGGGACTCGAGAAGCAACGAGAAAAACAAGAGCAGCAGCAGCAGCAGCAGCCGGGCACGGCCTCTCCTCGTGGAGACCCCGATTCTCTCTTTGACTGTCGCACGCCAGCTGGCATCCTGGACCTTTACCGGCGGTACGTGCCTCCTCATGCATGCATTGTGCTATAAGGTTTGTTTTGAGACGTCTCAATAGCCGTGAGATTCCAACCTCTCCCCCGACCTTCCCCCCCACCTTTCCCCCCTCTTCCCCCCCCTTCCCCCCCGCCCCTTTCCCTCCCCACGCGCCCCCCATGCAGCGACCTGGGGGCGAACCAGCGCCTGCACGGGCAGCTGCTGGCGGATGATGACGTGCGGCGGGCCATGGAGGGGCTGTTCTACGCCATGCGCGGTGAGAGAGAGAAGGGGTGGGGGGGGAGGCACGGGGAAGGTGGGGCGAAAATAGGGGACGAAAATAGGGGACGAAAATAGGGGACGAAAATAGGGAACGAAAATGTGCGGCAGGCCATGGAGGGGCTGTTGTACGCCGTGCGGAGTGAGCATGGGGGGCAGGCGGGGGGTGTGTGGGGAGAGTGCAAGGGAAGGGGGGAGTGAAGAAAGGGGGATCGCGGGATAGGGGAGGATGCCGTGCGGCGCGCTATGGAGGGGCTGTTCCACGCCATGCACGGTGAGCAGAAGGGGGAGGGGGCGGATAGGGGAGTGGGAGTGGATAGGGTGTGCATAGGGGTGCAGGTGTTGACGTGTGGCTGGCAATGGAGGGCTGTTCTATGCCCTCCATTGCCCACCAAAGTGGGGTGAGAACGAGGGGGGGGGGAAGGAGTGGATAGGGAAGTGGGAGGGATGGAGGAGGGTGTGCATAGGGGTGTGGGTGTTGACATGTGGCTTGCAATGGAGTGCTGTTCTATGCCATGAGGGATAAGGTGTGGTTGAGAGTGGTGGAGAGTAGAGCCGGCAATCACCCTTTGGCAACTTTTCTCTCCTCCCCCTTACCTGCTCCCTCCTCCCCACCCGTTCCTCCCAGGCTGCACCCTGCCACTCTCCCCAAGGCCACCATCTATTTGCCAACTTGCAATGGTGTGCAGGCAACCTCTCACCCCGAGGAGTCCATTTTTGAGGCGCCTCAAAAATAGACTCCCCATCAGCACATTCTCCTCTCACCCCCTGCTTCCCCTCGCCGTCTCTCCCCAAGCCTGCTGTACCCTCCTTCTCTCCACAAGCCACCGTCTCTTTGCCGACCTGCAGCGGCTTGCAGGCAACCACCCCATCGGGCACTTCGTCCCTCTCCCCTTCCTCTCCCCCACCCCACCCCCCTTCCTCCAGGCTGCACGTTGCTCCTCTCCCCGTCTTGCCATCTCTTCGACGGCTTGCAGTGGTGTGCGCGCAACCACCCCATCGGGCACTTCTCCCCTCTCCCATCCCCCCCCCCCCCCCCCCCTCACCCCCCATCTCCCTCCTCTCCACAGGTTGCACTCTGCTCCTCTCCCCAAGCCGGCGTCTGTTCGACGACCTGCAGTGGTGTGCGCGCAACCACCCCATCGGGCACTGGGACGCCATGGCGGGCCCGGACGAGTACTTCATCTCAAAGTTCTTCCTGGACCGCGGCATTCCGTGGACGCATGTGCACATGCGGTGAGCCCCCCATGCACTTGAGACAAGTTTTTCCTAAATAGAGGCATTCTGTGGACTCATGTTCACATGTGGTGAGGCATGGGAGGATGAACATGGGGTGCACATGCGGTGAGCGGCATGGGTGGATGAACATGGGGTGCACATGTGGTGAGCGGCATGGGTGGATGAACATGGGGTGCACATGCGGTGAGCGGCATGGGTGGATGAACATGGGGTGCACATGCGGTGAGCGGCATGGGTGGATGAACATGGGGTGCACATGTGGTGAGCGGCATGGCCATGGGTGCACTACGGATGTGCGCACACACGGTGCGACATATGTGTAGTGATGAGAGGTGCACCCATGGCCGGCCCGGACGAGTACTCCATCTTGAAATTCCACCTGGATATGCGTGTACACTAAAGGTATTCCAGGGGCACACGTGCACATGCGGTGAGTGACTTTTGAGTCGACTCAAAAGTCATTTTGAAATTCTACCTGGATATGCCTGCACACTATAGGTATTCCAGGGGCACTAGTGTACATGTGGTGAGTGGGGCATGCGATGTGCACGTGGTGATGCACCCATGGCAGGCCCGCGCGAGTACTGTCGTTGATGCATGTGCCCACGCCAATCCATCCCTTCACACACGAACACGCACGTGCACGTGCCCATCCTCCTCGGATTTCCTCTCTTACGCCTCGCACCACCTCTCTAACCTCTCATGCCCTTTCTCTCTCCCCCCCCCCACCATAGCAGCTATGGTGCCATATCGTGGGTGGTGGACGAGGCCCCGCAGGGCTAGGCGCCTCCCATCTCATCCACCCATGTTCCCCATGCTCCTCATGCGCCTCTCTCTGTCAACTCCCCCCCCCCCTCTTCTCTTCCCCCCCTATCAGCTATGGTGCCATATCGTGGGTGGTGGACGAGGCCCTGCAGGGCCAGGCGCCTCCCGTGTTCATCCACTACGTGAGTGAGAAGCCCTGGACCGCGCCTACCAATGCACCCTTGCCTGCTGCACCTGCTACAGCTGCTACAGCTGCTACAACTGTTACAGCTGCCCCTGCTCCATCTAACCCTGCTACAGCTACAGTGACCAACTGGTCGGACTTCTTAGTGTGGGACTCTATAGCGGAGCAGGTGGTGGGACTGCTGGGGGCAGCAGGGGAGGAGGAGGGTGACGCTGCGAGGAGGTTGTTTGGGGGATGGGAGGAGAGGAGAAAGCTCCCTGTCGCCTTTCCGGAGAAGCAGGGTTGACGAGAGAGCTGTATGGTGCAGCAGGTGGTGGTGGGGAAGGGGAGGGGAGAACTGCTGGCGGCAGCAGGGGAGGAGGAGGGGAGCGCAGCACTGAGGTTGTTTAGGGGGTGGGAGGGGAGGAGAAAGCTCCCTGGTGTGTTTCCGGAGAAGCAGGGTTGAGGAGCGGGCTGTATGGTAGAGCAGGTGGTGGGGCTGATGGCGGCTGCAGGGGAGGAGGAGGGGAGCGCACCAAAAAGGTTGTTTGGGGCTTGGGAGGGGAGGAGAAAGCTCCCTGGTGTGTTTCCGGAGAAGCAGGGTCGAGGAGTGGGCTTTATAGTGCAGCAGGTGGGGAGGAGGGAGGGGGAACTGCTGGCGGCAGCAGGGGAGGGGAGCGCAGCACTCTATGTAGCAAGGCGTGTAAAATGAGACTGCAAGTGATGCTGGTAAAGGGTAATTGCCAGGACTGCGAAGAGCACACAGCAGTGGTTGGTAACGCTGTAACAGCTGTCTCTCCTTGTATGGCTTCCAGAGAGAGCTACACCATGTTTTGGAAGCCTGAGAAAGAAGCTACTGGTATTGCCCCTGAGGATGGTTGCTGCAGAGGGGTACCATGCAGCCGTACTAGCTCCTTCAGCCAACGCAGGTGGCGTGCGCTTATCTAGTACCATATGTACGTACGTACTACAACAATAGTTAGGGTATTCTCGAGCAGAACTGGTGGAGAAAACTACAAAAGCATGAGAGCGTTTCTCAAGACAAGGGATCAACCAAGTGCAAACCTAATAAGAGACAAAGAGCACATGCATGGCACAACTCGCGCATGGCACAACTCGCGCATGGCACAACTCGCGCATGGCACAACTCGCGCATGGCACAACTCGCGCATGGCACAACTCGCGCATGGCACAACTCGCGCATGGCACAACTCGCGCATGGCACAACTCGCTGAAACTTGGGATGAGTTGCAGTGCTACACTATGCTACAACAAACAGAAGCAATCACCCGGCAATCACTCCCACCCATCCCAAACCGACAGCCCAAGCCCCATTATCCCCCCCTTGCACCAGTTCCCCATTCCCCACAACCCTCCATGCAGCCATTTGACCCCCTTCAAGCTCATGCCTCACCCTCTGCAGCAGCCTCACTCCCCGCTGCACCATCCACTGCCATAGCCTCCCCTGCAGCACTGCCCCCTTCTGCTCCTGCGCCCCCCTCAACAGCTGCTTCCCCTGCAGCAGCACCACCATCCCCTCCCTCTGTTCCCTCCACCTGGGTTCCCTCACCCTCACCCTCACCCGCCCCATCCCCCTCACCTTCCTTCTCTGCATCTCCTGCCAGCTTCACTCCCCCCTCTGTATCCTCCCCCAGTCCCTGCCCCTCCCTCCCCTCTTCCACCCCCTGATCCCCCCCTCCCTGATCGTCCTCAGTCACAGCAGCAGAAGCCTCCCCAGCGCCCTCGGCTACCAGAGCATCACCCCCAGTCACAGCCTCATCGCCCTTGTCCTGCTTGCCGCCACCCTCCGCTTCCTTCTCTCCGCCCTCCTCCTCAGCATCTGCTCCCTTCTCACCCATGCAAAGCTGTTCCTCTGTGCCTTGCGCTCCGCTACCTGCTTCGGCACTCGGGGCAACAACAGCAGCCGCATTCGCATCAGCAGCAGCAGCAGCGTTTGCACCATCACCTGCTAGTGCACCGTCTACGTCCATAGTATCGGCGTCCTTGCCTGCACTGCCCTCCTCGTGCCCATCCATCTGTCCCTCTCCGTCCTTCTCCTTCTCTCCTTCTGCAACCTTCTCTTCCTTCTCCCCCTCTCCCTCCTTCACCACCTTCTCGCCCTCGTTCTCCTCACCCCCCTCTTCCTTATTCCCCTCCGCCCGCTTCTCTCCCTTCACTCCTTCCGCCCCCTGCTCGTCCTTCACGGCCTTCACCACATCCCCTCCTCCTCCTTCCACGTTCAGCTCATCAGCGCCATCACTCACAGCAACACCCTCGCCCGCACCATCCTTGCTTTCCTCACCTGCTCCTGCCTCTTCCGCTCCCTCTCCCTCCACCTTCTCCCCCTCCGCCCCCACCATTTCCCCGCCCTCTAATCCCTCCCCCTTCCCTCCTACAGATACTCCCTCTTGCCCCTGTCCGGCCTCCAGCGCAGCAGTCACTTCCAGCACATCCGCATCCGCCGCTCCCTCCTTCGCCACTTCCTCCCCCTCCCCTCCAACAAACCCACCCATGTCCTTCCCCTCCTCTCCATCTTCCGCCTCCGCAAACCCATCCCCCCCACCACCACCAACACCACCACCAAAGCCCACCAGCGCCTCCTCCTCCTCTTCCTCCACAACCATACTCGCTTTAAGCTTCTCCACGCTCGCTTTAACCAGCTCTTCGATATCCAGCCCAACCAGGCCCGGCAGCTGTCCTGTAGCAGCCACGACAGCATGCACGGCCACAGCAGCCGCCCCCACCGCTTGCGCCATCCCCGTAACCGCCGCCACCTGCTGCTTCTCCCGCTTCTCCCGCCGCTTTTCCAGGGCCACCAGCCTCTCCTGAGCCTCCACCTGTCGCTTCAGCAGCATCACTTTCTCTTTCTTTAACCCCAGGTCGCTATTGCGGAAAGTCTTGAGCTGATTCGCCTCGGCCTTCCGCGCCTTTTCCCGCGCTTCCCGCTCGCGCGTCTCCTGCTTGTGACGTTTCGCGAGCGCGTCCTCGCTCCTGCCCAGTGCCCCCGCGATCACGTGCGCCGCGCGGACCATCGCGTCGTTACCCAGCGCGCCACCCCCGCGCGCTTCCCGCGAGGCCCCCGGAAGGCGCGACAGCACCCCGTCGTTGACCCGCCACGTCATCAGGTCGTCTTCTTGCGCGCCCGCGCTCCCCCACCCTGCGGCGAGCGCTTCGCCTCTCCCGCGCCCTCCCCTTCCGCCACCCCTTCCGCGACCGCGTCCTCTCCGACCCCCGCCGCCGCCTGCAGGTGCCGCAGGAGCGCCGCTGATGTCCCCCTGGCTTCCGCGCCGTCCGCCGCCCATTCCGCCGGTCCCCGTCGCCGCCGCCAACCGCGAAATTAAGCCATCCGGATTCCCCGCCTCGTCCCCTCCCAAGCCTTCCCCGCCAGCGCCTGCCCCTCCCGCTTGCCCCCCGGGCTGCCCGAGCAGAAGACTCGCCTGGTCACGCAGAGCCACAAGATACGGATCCTCCGTAGTCGAAGGTACGTAGGGCAGCCCACCAGGCAGGTTCGAAGTTCCTACGTCCCACAGTCCAGTCTGATTCCCGTCGGCGCCAGCGCGCGGCTGACTCGTTGACCCGCGTTGACCGCGTTGACCAGGCTGACCGAGCTGCTGCTGTTGCTGGGCATTCCCGCGTTGACCGGGCTGCGGCTGCTGGTGCGTCCTCTCCTGCTCCTGCCGCGCGTGCACGGCGATCGGCATCCACTCCATCATGTGGTCGAAAAGCTCCCGCGGGAAATGCGGCGGCATGCCGATCGCCTCGCGCTCCTCGACGCTCAGCCGCCAAAAGTACCCGGGATTCACGGCGTCTAGCGTGTTATCTCCCGGCGGCGGCGCCCGTCCCTCCATCTGCAGGCGCCGCCGCTGCTCCTGCTGGACCTGCCGCTGCCAGCGGAAGATCTTCCGGAAAAGGAGCTTCGTGTTGTAATGGCGGCTGATGCAGGACTGCGCCGAGCGATGGTACACCGCACCCCCGGGAGCGCGCCCCGACGCCATCCATTTCACGAGATATTTGCCCTGCTCGACTTTTCCCCACTTGAGCGCGTTTTCCCCGAGGCTGTCCTGCATCTGCTGGTGCGACTTGAGGCCTTCCGCGAACCAGAGCGCTTCCGCCAGGCTCCAGTTGCTTCCGCGGTCTCGCTTGCGCTTCTTAGAGTCGGGAAGGTCGTCGCCTTCGTCGCCTTCGTCCGCCATGTAGTCTTCCTCATCTTCCTCGTCGCTCCAAATGCTGTGTTGAGGATACGCGGAACCACCGCCAGGATATGCAGAACCACCGCCGGCGGAGGTTCCGGGAGCGGAGAAATAAGCGGGCTCGCGACCCAGCTCCATCGCAAGCGATGTTGGACTTGTTCAAACGAATCGAACCGCACAAAAGCTTCAACGGTTTCGACAACAAACAGGAGTATTCAAACACGCAGAGACTGCGACTCTAGCCGCTAAACCGATAAATTTTGCTGCTGAGGTTCTAGTTCTGGGTGGTGGAAATGACCTCAGCAGTTCTCAAGATGTGTGATATACCCTGCTGCTGGCTCCTGTGCTTCTTGGGATCTGGTGGGGGAAACCCTCGAGGGTTTCGTCAGCTCTAGTGGAGATTCTGAAGAAGCGGCAAGGGTTTCAGCTAAGACCAGGGCATCTGGTGGTTGCGGGGGTGGTGGTGTGGCTGTTGGCGAAACGGAATAATTTAGCGACGAGGGTTTCAGCTAAGACCAGGCGGAAGACTGCGATTCTCAAGGCAACGGATTGGTTGGTGGTTGGCGAAGGAGAACAATTCGCGAAAGTCTATCCACTCGCTTCACACCATCATTTGCTTGGCCCGCGTTCAGTTTGGTTCCCACTCAGGAGGGGTTGTTGGTGTGGTGTAGACGTGAATCCTGAAAAAACGAGCTCGATTCCCATTATCCCCTACAACGACGGTTGGTCGTCGATAAGCATGCTAACGGACGGCTAGATTCGCAGTATCGGAAACATTGATACTCGATAAAGGACCTGACCGCAATTAGTTTTGCACAAAGTACCTTGCACGGGCTCTAAGTCGAAAGAGCCAAGTAGAATAAGCTATGCTGAAAAATGGCCTATGTAATCAACAAACATAGCCTTCGTTGAAACGACAAAACGCGGAATGCTTATGTGCGGGGACACGTCAATAGCCTCATATTCACCAATCAGCGCTACGGGAACACCACGGGTGTTGTGTCAGGTTCGAGAAGATTGTTTTCGCCTGTCGCAGTCCAGATGGCAAACGCTGGCAGGTGAACGATAGGGTTGCGAAGACATCGCTTGCTTCCAGACATCCAGCCTTCGCGAATTCCACCATCACCAAAACAAATCTCAAGGAAAGAAACACCACACTAGGCAGCAGATTCCCTGGCAAACAGTTCAATGGCTTCATTTCCACGAGACCCATCACCTCTATGAGGGATTAGACAGCCGTTGATCACGGACTGGATCGGCGATAGGCTAAGGCAGTCCGTTTATAGTCGCATTTAACGAAACGGTCTATCCAACACTAGGCAGACACGCTGTGTCTGGTACTCACCACTCCGCCATCCGTGATTTGACGCACCCTAACCACTTCCGGGTACCTTAGCGTTTGCCACTGGAATATATTGGTGCGATCTGTAGCAGCATGACTGACGGTGGCTGCTACGGGAGGTGTAGATGGGTCAGAGCGTGTGGCGAGCTGGCAGGGGTTGCGCGCCAATGGTTGACTGTCAGCGTGCTGGCGTTCTCCATTGTCACTGTATCAGCAGCGGATCCAGGTATATTGCGGATAATATGGAGAGATAATCTGCAACGGATTGCTGGCGTTCAGCGCATCGGCAACTGAAAGCATGTCTATGTCGCGTATCCCTGATTCCACTCATAGCGGCATTCCTTACGTTACCAAATTCCACTCATCGCCACCCACCTACTTTGATTTGTGCGTTTGTCTTCCAAACTGACCTTTTCCGCCTCGCCAATCAGGTTCGTTCCTGCAAGCCGGCGATGCAGCTGTGTCAAGCGGCCAGTACTCCGCCGCACTGCGGCACTACACCGCCTTCATCGGTCAGTCTTCCAATCCTTGATTTGTTCACCCTGTAATTCGTCTCATTTCGGTCAGTACTCCGCCGCACTGCGGCACTACATCGCGTTCATCAATCGGTCTTCCCATCCCTGACCCTGTTTGCCTTTGATCCCTTTTCAAAACCGGCTAGTATTCCGCCGCACTGCGACGCTTCACCGCTTTCTGCTACCTTGCTGATTTTCTTGCCTCCATGCTCTCGCTTCGCTCCTGCGGAGGTCTTGATCAGAACCAGTTTAGGCGTTTTTTTCCCCCTCGCCTCCCCTCTTTCTCTGAAGCGGATTCCAGCACGGGTCTGGGGTACACGAAGGCATCAGCGGTGTACCTGCAGCAGCGGAGGCACGATTATTATCTTAAGCACCTTTACTGCCGCAACTCTCCTCCCTACCCCCCCTTCTCCAGAGGCGGACCCCAGCACGGGCCTGGGGTACACTAAGAGAGCCGCGGTGTACCTGCAGCAGCGGAAGCACAGGGAGGCGGAGGCGGATCTAGACAGGGCCATTCAGGTGGAGCCTTCCTTCCTGCAGGGCTACCTGCACAGAGGCCGCCTGCGCCGGCAACTATGCCAGTAAGCCGTCGATTGTGCCAGTAGGCCGTCAATTGCGCAGTTAGGTCGTTAGGCGCCATTCAGGTTGACGCCGCTCTGTGCAAGGGCTACGTGCACGGAGGCCGCTTGTACCGTCCGTCAACTGTGCCAGTGCGCCGTCAGTCGCGCCAGCAGAATTCCTCGGTCTCCCTTTCCCCTGCTGTCCTCAATCCGGGCCGTGCGCTTTCGAGCCCATACCCTCTCTTCTTAACCATCTCATTGCTTCTTCCCCACTTCAACCGCTTGCCTCACCTTCCCCCCCGCAGGTTCTCAGCAGCTTCCGCAGATTTCGCGAAGCTATTAGAGCTGAAGCCGTCGCACACCAGCGCTCGTAAGGAGCTCGCGTCTACTAAAGCCGCAGCCGACGCGCTAGGAGCCGTTAAGGTGGCTATAGAGTTGGGGCGAGGGGAGGAGGTGGAGAAACGGCTAGAGGACGAGGTGCTCAGTGTAGTTCCGGACTGTAAAGAGGCGCTGATGCTTAAAGCGAAGCTGCTTATGGCGAAGGGGGACTACCCTGGCGTGATTGCGGAGGCTGGGAGGGCGCTGAAGTCGGACGAGAACGACCTGGAGGGCCTGCTGCTGAGGGGGAAGGCGTATCTGTACAATGGCGACCACGACCATGCACTCAAGTACGACCCATACCCGTACAATGAAGATTATGAGCGTTACATCTCTGCTCCCCTCTAGCTGGCACGTCTCTTTGCCCCCAGCCTACGTCGCTCAACCGCCTATTTTCCGTCTCGTACCTTCCAGGTATTACGTTTTCCCCGTCAGATTTTGAGTCGACTCAAAAGCCTTGTCGTACCTTCCAGGTATTACGTTTTCCCCGTCAGACTCACGAATCACCCGCTCTCTTCCCTTCTGTGAACTTCCCTCTTCCCCCCTGCCCCTCTCTTCTCTTCACCCCATTCCGCAGGCACTTTCAGGCGGGATTAAGATCGGATCCCGAGCATGGGGAGCTGAAGAAGGCGTATCGGCAGCTCAAGAACTTGGAGAAGAAGACAAAAGTGGTGAGTGGGGGGGGGCATGGGGAGTGTGTTGAAGGCGGAAGGGATGGCACGGGTTTTGGGTGCGCTACGAGCAAGTCCGAGCACGGGGAGCTGAAAGGGGCGTATCGGCAGCTTAAGAACCTCGAGAAAAATACGAAACATGTGAGTTGAAGGGGATATGGAAAGAAGGTGTCTTGAGAAGGATAGGGAACAGCAGTCAGTATGGAGAGTAACCCAAGCAGCTAGAGGGCGTATAGCCAGCGCACGAACATCGAGAAAGAAGACTTTCGAGCCGCAAGGAGCTCGAGAGGAGCACGTTCTCCAACTTGTCACTGGTTGACCATGCCTGGTCGAGCAGGGAAGTGTGCAACTGGTCGCGATTGTTCGTAGCAAATGGATAGATTCGTGATTTGCCTTGATGGTTCGCGATTTTCCATGCGAAATCCCAGGCTAGTTTTGCCACAGCACTAGCCATTGCGGCGACCAGGCATGGTTAGTGCTGTGGCAAAGCTAGCCTGGGATTTCGCAACCCATCTAGCACAAAACCCATCTAGCACTAAACCCTGAACCGGAACCTCTCAAACCATTGAACACGGGTTTTTGTGCTAGATCGAAAAGATTTTGAGGCGCCTGACTAGTAGCCAACCCCTCGTTTTATGCCGCTCGCAAATTTCCCCTCTGTGACTCTGTCGCCACCCACATGCCCCATCTGCACTCCCCAGGCAAGTGAGCTGTTGGAGCAGAGCAATTTCCGCAAGGCAGCAGACGAGTTCAAGGCAGCGGGCCTTTTGAGGCGCCTGGAGAGTAGCTTCTCCTTGTTTCCTGTCACCACCCTGCGTGCGTTTTTTCATTTTTATTTTTTCCCCTTTTCTTTTTTTCCCCTTTTCTTTTCATCCGCCCTCCCCCAGGCGAACGAGTTCTTGGAGCAGAGCAAGTTCCGCAAGGCGGCAGACGAGTTCAAGGCAGCGCTTGAGGTCAGGTTCTATTTGCTTCACCAGTACGCGACTTTCCTTTCGAGCATGCTCTGCCACTGTCCACGCTCTTTTTAAGCCTTCTGAAGCCAGCATACTGCTGGTGTGTGTTGTGCGTGCCATACCCCTCGTTTACTCGCACCTCTTTGCAAGCAGATGCGGACCACAAGCAGCAACAGCGGCAGCTTGCAGCTGCAGGGTTTAAAGCATTTCTCCTTACCTGCGCCTCCCTCTCTCCCATTCGGTTTCCTCCCCTCTCAGATCATTCCGGGTCACAAGCAGCACAGCATAAAGCTGCACCTGGGGCTGTGCAGAAGCTTTTCAGTCGTCGCCCCTCACCCTTTCCTGGCTCATTTCCCCTCCGCGTGTCCCTTGCTGCCCATCAGATCATTCCCGACCACAAGCAGCACAACATGAAGCTGCATTTAGGGTTGTGCAGGTGTCTGGTGAAGCTGGGCCGGGGCAAGGAGGCAGCAGAGGCGTGCTCTGCGGTGCTGGCTGTGGACAACGACCACTTTGACGCTCTCTTACTTGTGAGTGCTGCTATAGGCTTCGGTGTTAGTTCTCGGCCGCTCTACTCAAAGCACTGGGCCGAGGCAAGGATGCAGCCGAGGCGTGCTCTGCGGTGCTGGCTGTGGACAACGACCACTTTGACACTCTGCTGCTGGTGACGCTTTTTTACCGGTGAGGATCTCTTGCTGCTGAGGCTCTCTGATTCTACCCGTTGCTGGCACCTCTTTGACGCTCTGTTGTTTTCCGTGGCACCTCACAGCACTTACCAGGATCATCTCCCGGCTCTCACCACTCACACCCCCCTCCCTCATCTTCCCCATCGCCTCGGCCCCCCTCCCCCCACCCGCCCTGCTGGCGTTTGTTCCTGGACAGCGTGGCGAGGCCCGGATCATGACAGAGGAGTGGGAGGGCGCGCTGGGAGACTTCAAGCACGCGCACCAGCTGAACCAGCAGGTAGGGATTTGATTCCCTTGCCTGGAAGGGAGGGGGTGCTGTGGCCTTGTCTTATCCTGCTCCGTTGCTGTGTTTCTGTTGGTGCCCCTTGCATGGTGCCTTGCATGGCGCCTTGCATGGTGCCTTGCATGGTGCCTTGCACGGCGCCTCGCATGGTGCCATGCATGGCCCCTTGCTCTTGTGCGTCTGTGTTGCTTCAACTCTGCTATTATTCCGCCCTTCCTCGTTTCCCTCCCACCTCCTTTTCCCGACGCCTCTCCTTTGGAGTCGACTCAAAACCGCCTCTCCCCTCACTTTCACTCTCCCCCCTCACTCTCTCCCCTCCCTCTCTCCCCTCTCTGTTACTCAGCCAGATCCACGGTGCAGAGCAGTGGCTGAAGCTGAGCAAGTGCAAAGACTGGTACAGGGTGCTGGGTACACGCCCATTGCAGAGCCGCTGGGCAGTGGCGGGCTTCCAGAGAGCGTCTTTCTCTAACCCGCACTCTCTGCCCCTGCTCGTCCTCTTTGGCCCGTGCAGAGCCGTGAAGCAGTGGCGGGCTTCCAGAGAGCAGAGCAGGGGCTGAAGATGAGCGAGCGCAAGGACTGGTGCAAGGTGCTGGCGGTGAACAAGGGTGCAACTTCTCTCTCAAACGCCCTCTAACTCTACCCCGTATCTCCCCACAGAGACGGGAAGCCGTATCTGGCTTCCAGAGAGCAGAGCAGGGGCTGAAGACGAGCGTAAGGACTAGTGCAAGGTGCTGGGGGTGGACAAGAGCTCGCTCTCCCCCTCTCTCACGCTGTGTTCCGCAATTCTCTGTGCCCCTCCTCACAGAGCCGCGAAGCCGTATCGGGTTTCCAAAGGGCAGAGCAGGGTTTAAAGATGAGCGAGCGCAAGGACCGGTACAAGGTGCTGGGGGTGGAGAAGAGTGCTGCGTCCCCTAACCTCCACTCCCCCTCACTCTCTCCCTTTCTCTGGCCCTCATCCCCACAGAGCCGCGAAGCCGTATCGGGTTTCCAACGAGCAGAGCAGGGATTGAAGCTGAGCAAGCGCAAGGACTGGTACAAGGTGCTGGGGGTGGACAAGAGCGCGTCAGCCGCGGACATCAAGAGGGCATACAAACGGCTGGCGCTCAAGTGGCACCCGGATAAGAACGTGGCGAACAAGGAGGAGGCGGAGGAGCAGTTCCGGGAGGTGGCAGCAGCATATGAGGTGAGGGGGGATGAGTGAAGGGCTGATGCGTGTAGGAGATAGTACAAGGGAGGTGCAAACGGGTGGCGCTCAAGTGGCACCCGGACAAGAACGTGGAGAACAAGGAGGAGGCGGAGGAGCAGTTTGGGGAAGTGGCTGCGGCATATGAGGTGAGGCAAGGGGTTGAGGTGGGGGGGGACGTATCAAGGGCTGATGGGGGTAGGGGAGGGGGAAAATCAGGTGCAAGCGGCTGGCGCTCAAGTGGCACCCGGATACGAGCGCTCAGACCAAGGGGGAGGCGGAGGAACAGCTGAGAGAGAGGGGCTTTTGCTTCTGATGAAGCAAGAGGGGGAAATCAGTGGACAATGCCCCTTCGCTTCGGACGCCTCGCAAACACCAGTGCATGTTGCATGCGTTGCCGGTCCCTCTCGCCTCCCCCCTCCTCTTCCTCTCCTCATACCCTTTTCTTCCCACTCTACAGTGGTTGGGCGATGAGGACAAGAGGGGGCAGTACGACAGGGGCAAAGATGTGGATGAGCCGGAGAAGCAAGAGGGAGGGAGCCTCATGTTTCATTCCCCCACTCCCCATACCCCCACCCCCAATGCCCCTACCCCCCAGGTGTTGGGCGATGAGGACAAGAGGGGGCAGTACAAGAGGGGCGAGGACGTGGACGAGCGACAGCAGGGGGGGGGGGGAGGCTTCCCCTTTTTGTAGGGGTCTAGAAGCTACCCTAAGACATTAGCTCAGGTTTCACCCGCTGCCCCACCCTGCCAACTCCTTATTGTCTCCCTCCCACTCTTTCAGGTGTTGGGCGACGAGGTCAAGAGGGCGCGGTACGATAAGGGAGAGGACGTGGACGAGCCGGAGCAGCAGGGGGGAAGACGTCTCATGTTGCAATCCCCACCTCCCACCCCCCAACCCCCATGCCGCAGGTGTTGGGCGACGAGGACAAGAGGGCGTGGTACGACAGGGGAGAGGACGTGGACGAGCCGGAGAAGCAGGGGGGAAGACGTCTCATATTGCAATCCCCACCCCCCACCTCCCACCCCCCACCCCCCACCCCCCAACCCCCAACCCCCATGCCGCAGGTGTTGGGCGATGAGGACAAGAGGGCGCGGTATGACAGGGGTGAGGACGTGGACGAGCCAGAGCAGCAGGGGGGAAGACGTCTCATGTTGCAATCCCCACCTCCCACCCCCCAACCCCCATGCCGCAGGTGTTGGGCGACGAGGACAAGAGGGCGTGGTACGACAGGGGAGAGGACGTGGAC